TCCGAATAATTTATACTTTTTGGTCTGACCGCATAAGTGCATTAAAAACAAGGATTCAAGCTGCTTCTGAGACTACCACCAGGATAAGCGCAAGATCGCCAAGGCCACTGAGATCGCCACAAGGCACAGGGATGGGAAATTCACCAATAACTATATAGGGGAAGATTGGTGCAAGGGCTGTGCTTAAAGCCTTGGAAAGGTATTTCAAAACATTTGGACCAGATTTATAATAGGAAAAAAAAGGAGGATCCTATAAAAGAGCTGAAGATCAAACAAAGTAGCTTACTGCATATAGGGCAGATCCAGAAAAGCCAACTGCAGCACTGGTCTCCAAAACATTGGAAGTTGTAAGAATTTTCTCAAGCAGCATTTTGCAAACAGGGTAACTTGTCCATGCACAGCAGAGATGTTACACAAGCTATGCACCACAAATATTTCTTCAAGACAAAAGAGTGTACCATATGGCCAATACTCATTGGGACATACTGGGGTGGGGAGTGTGAACCCCCACCACACAGTTGTGGGTCTTCAATACGGAGAGACTCCCGAGAGAGCCAGGTGTACCATTCAGTCTCAGTGTTAACTCTAGAACGTCAGTTTTCTATGTGACAAGGTTCCGTCCACATACTTGCCAAGTTCAGTAGTATACCACAAAAAATAAAATTTACAAAAAGAATACAAACAAAAACACGTGCAAGTAAGATGCAGATTGAATACTTCAGTGAGCAACCTATGTTGCAAAAGTCATCTCTACCAAAAGTGAGAATCTTTGACAGTAAGGCCTGCGTAAGGGCAGATATGGCATGGTTAGCACCTGGTGGAGGGGGTGAGGGTACATGTAAAGTGGGTGTCTGGGTCCCCAAAGCGTGTGAACTATAGTGGTTCCATGTGGCTCAGATAAATTAGAACTTTTCATATTTGTCTTTACACGCAGCCATCCATTCCTCTGCTTCCATTATATTAGTCACCAGCTGTACCCAGTCCAAGCAACTAGGAACCTGAGATTTTGGCCAATAAACCAGGATTAGAAGTCATGCAGAGTTCAGAAGGTGTGGCAAAACACATTTTTTAAATTGGTTAAGAGGAATGAGGCGATGAGACACACACAAAAAAAAAAAAAAAAATGTATCGGGGAGTCTGGGACATCGATATCTAGTATTACTTTGCAGAGCTGTCTTAATGCTTGGCACCCCTGGGTAGTGCCCAGGGGCCCCAGGTGCATAGGGGCCCCATAAAAACCTTGTCGGGACAGTCACGCTTTTTACTAACCTGTTCCAAGATGGCCTGGACAATGTCACAGAACCTGTACTGTGCCCTCCTGACTTTCCCTGTACTGTGCCCTCTGTGTTGATAACTCTTTGATTTGTGGCATGTTTTCTTATTGTTTAAAATCATATGTATTGAGTACTAATAAATATATGCTTAATTCTATCAACTACTTATACTTTACCTCTTGAGAGTAGGTGCGTAAAATGGGGCAGGCTGCTAGGGGCCCAGTGCATTACTTTGCCCAGGGGTCTATGATGCTATTAAGACGGTCCTGTTACTTTGATTTGGGTTCTAATGTCTATGCAGAATGGACACAGCTTAGGGAATTCCCACAACAGATGTGTAAAAAGGTAGCACAAATGATTTTAAGTTTTGATTGGCATGTACCTTTACAAATCAGACAGGGCCATGGGGGAAAGGGGGGGTGCAGATGCCACCTGAGGCAGCCATTTTTTGGTGCACCTGCACCAAAACAACCAATGAAACTGTAATGCCCAGGGGGGCTGACCATACACAGGGCTGAACATGCATTGGGGATGGGGTGTCCGATTTGGACACTCCAGCTTCAGTGCACATTCCCCACTGTGCCTCCATGAGTGCTGCCCACTTAACTTGGGAAATATAAAAACGCTCAATTTTAAGAGAGCTGATTTTCCAAGGCTGAGAGCTGTTCTCCAGGACTTAGACTAGGAGGGAATATCGGCATCAATGAACACAACACAGAAGTAGAAGTTCTTCAAAAAGACTGTATGTGAACACTCTGCAAAGTATATTGCCATGGGCAATAGTTTAAAAGGCTAAAAATCAAACCTATGTGGCTTACAGCCAAAGTTAAAAAAGCTATAGATAATAAGAAAAGAGCTTTTTTTAAATATAAAAATGAAGGAACGCTATCATCGTTTAAACATTACAAAGAATATAACATAATATGCTAAAAGGAAATAAAGGCCGCAAAAATTGAAAAAAAAAAAAAAGGACAGATTGCACAAGATAGCAGGACAAACCCCCAAAAATTCTTCAAATACATTAATAGTAAGAAGGTCCAGCCCGAGCATGTAGGCCCTTTACAAAATAATCTAGAGAGGGTGACTGGGGACAAAGAGAAGGCAAATTTATTAAATACCTTCTTCAGCTCTGTGTATACTAAGGAGCATGGGGGAGCTTTTGTCCATAATGGGCATGGTATTGACACAGCCCCAGATGATCCACATTGGCTCACAATTGATATGGCCCATAAATATTGAGACAGAATAAAGGTGAATAAAGCACCTGGACAGTATGGCATACACCCATGGGTCCTTAAAGAATTGAGCTCTGTCATTTCAAAGCCATTGTTTTTTCGAATTTTTAGGGACTCTTTAATGACTGGCATAGTACCACTGGATTGGCGTAAGGCCAATGTGGTGCCAATATTTAAAAAGGGGTCAAAATCTTTACCAAGTAATTATGGACCAGTTAGTTTAACTTCTATAGTTGGGAAGATACTGGAGAGTTTAATAAAAGACCACATAGATGAGTTCTTGCTGGTAAAAAATGTTTTAAGCAACAGACAGCATGGATTCATGAAACAAATCTGATTTCTTTTCATGAGGAGGTGAGCAAAACCTTGGACAGAGGGGTGGCGGTGGACATGGTATACTTGGATTTTGCAAAAGCATTTGACACAGTTCCCCACACACGGCTAATGTACAAGGTAAACTCTACAGGCTTGGAAAAATCCGTATGTAAATGGATAGAAAACTGGCTAAAAGATGGTATTCAGAGAGTAGTGGTTAATGAGTCATACTCTGAATGGTCTAGGGTTGACAGTGGTGTACCCCAAGGTTCAGTGTTGGGACCCTTACTTTTTAATATATTTATAAACAATATAGGGTCTGGGATTAAAAATACCATTTCAGTCTTTGATGACACCAAGCTGTCCAGTGGAATAACGTCCTTACAGGATGTCTTCAACTTACAAGCCGACCTCAATGCACTGTTTAATTGGGCAACTATGTGGCAAATGAGGTTTATTGTGATAAATGTAAGGTTATGCACTTGGGGGCTAAGAATATGCAAGCATCATACATACTAGGGGGGGTACAACTGGGGAATCAATGGTGGAGAAGGATCTGGGGGTTCTGGTAAATCACAAGCTTAATAATGGCATGCAATGCCAAGCTGTGGTTTCTAAAAAGCGAGCAAAATCCTCTTTTGTATTAAAAGAGGTATAGACGTCAGAGAGAGAGATATCATATTACCCCGGTACAAATCATTAGTAATACCTCATCTGGAATATGCAGTTCAGTTTTGGGCACCAATTCACAAAAAGAACATTGGGGAACTGGAGAAAGTACAGAGAAGGGCAACCAAACTGATACGAGGCATGGAGGAGATCAGCCATGAGGAAAGATTAGAGGAACTGAATTTATTCTCTCTTGAGAAGAGGAGATTAAGGGGGGATATGATCAACATGTATAAATACATCAGTGGTTCATATAGTGAACTTGGTGTAGTTATTCACCTTGAGGTCATCACAGAGGACAAGGGGGCACTATTTACATCTGGAGGAAAAGAAGTTTAAATCTCCAGTCATGGAAAGGTTTCTTCACAGTAAAAGAGCTGTGAAAATGTGGAATAGACTCCCTCAAGAGTTGGTTCAGCTCAGTGGATTGCGTTAAAAAGGCCTGGATTCTTTCTTAGGTACACAGAATATAACTGGATACTAACATTTATAGGTAAAGTTGATCCAGGGAATATTCGATTGCCTCTCAGGGGATTAGGAAGGAATTTTTTTTTTTGCAGGAGCAAATTGGATTATGCTTTGCTGTTTTTTTTGCCTTCCTCTGGATCAACTGTGGGTGTAACTGTATCCAACTATGTAACTATTTAACTTGCCCTCATAAGCAGCACAGCCCTGAAAGCAGCATCACTCTAATTAGACTCAGGATCCTTCTGTGTCATAACTCCTGCCTGGAACAACATAACCGCTGTACTGCTACTTCTGTTGGCTCAGTAGACAAAATCTAGTAAGGGAACTCATATGGGATGGGGCAGACACTTACCAAGAGAAATTTAAATTTTTTCACATGTATCTCTCAGATCCATGGTGGCATGAATAAAGTATGATTCGGTTCCACAGAAATGTTTGAAATCTTTTTAAAATCATGATGGCATTGGATTAGATCTCCTTTTTAAAAGTATGTAGTGGAGTCTGTTAATATCACAGTGTATGTATTCACACCATATTCATTTAAATGCTCCTTATCCTAAGAGTTCTAAAGACTATGCCACTTACCTGCTTACAGAAACGGAGAAAGCCAATGGAATAGGACATCCCCTGCAGACAGCATGTTCCATAGAAAACAGCTGGATCTGAAAAGGGAAAAACATTATAAGATGAAATCATGCGAAAGAACTGATTGCATTATATTGAGCACATTAAATTAGAAATATGTTATTTTGGTTCATATACATTTAAAAGGAGGGACCTATATTCAATTTCCACTAGGAGCAGCAGATTTTTTTTCGAATACATTAGAGCGCTCTTCAGTTCCAGTTTTGGGATGCTGAATACAGATTTTAATGGAAATGTTGAATGTCACTTTAAACAAATGGCTAACGCCCTTTAAACAAGTTTCAAGAATAGATGAATCTTAAGTGGGCAATACATAATGAGTCCATAGATTCCCCCATCTATGCTACACAGCATGGCTGGACAAACGTCCCGCTCAGGGGCGGACTGACAACTCATGGGGCCCCTGGGCAATAGGGGATCATGGGGCCCCTGTGTCCTTGCCCAAACAAAAAAGCCTATGAAAAAGGTACCAGGGGCATCTCAATGAACCCCCTACTGACCCCAGGCCGTGACAGAGTTTCCAAATGGTCAGTCCGCCCCTGGTCCCGCTGCCAGCTAATGGATTCTGACAGTTGGCACTCACAGCTGTCAGAATGCCTGAACATTGGCTGCAGCCGATTGGCTACAGTCACTATTTGGCCAGCATTTTTTCCATCCAGCTCCATCAAGTTTTACTAGCTGCATAGTGTCAGCAGGGCCACTCATGACTTGAATTTCAACCGTATCACAGGAATGAACTTAAATTTGAGCAGTGAAATCCTGCTAGAGAGTTGTTTAAATTGACAATCCATCAAGATCTGTGTTTAACATCTCTAAACTGGAGCTGAATGGAGAGAACTTAGCAAATACTGTAAAATTGTGCTGCATATGTTGCCCTTTAGACAAATCATTGACAAGCTAAAGAGTGAGCTTTATACACATAGCCCCATGTAAAGGTCAACTGCTTCTTTTTAAATATTCCTGTCTGAAGGCCTAGGCAATTGATCATGTGATTAAAAACAAAGAACAGAAAAATCAGTGCAAATAATTCCCCAGAATCAAAGTGCCAGAGAGAAAAATAAAGGCACATATTAAAGTTCAATGTATGTGAGTTCACATAGAACTAGGATATGCTCTTGTAGCTGTAGCAGGCTCTGGGTAAGACACAATGAAAAAGAAAAAAAAAAAAAAAAAAAAAAAAAAAAAAAAAAAAAAAAGAGTCTCTACGCCTATGCTTGAAAAGGGAGTGCGCTTGCTGTCCATTGGCTTTGCGCATGCTCCGAAGCGCTTTGCATTGCATACTGGTCCTCTCCACGTCATCACGCTGATGAAGATGTTGCGCACTAAGGTGCGTTCCATCGCCCATCTACTGAGAGAGAGACACACAAGCCAACCGGCTCCCTCCATCCACAGTCTCCGTAAACGAGGATCGCGGCCCACCCAGCGAGGACTTCTCCTGACACTTAATCATGGATGAGCCTTTTTAAACTTTCACCATGTGAGTTTTTTTATTCTATTGTTCCTCAAATAAATGTCCTTTTACTGCACGTAGAGGTGCTTTTTCTTTTTAAATTGATCATGTGATCTCTGAAGGGTGAGATGAGAGTTAAGAATAGCTAATCCCCTCTTTAAAATTGTGTGTGTATGACTAAACATGCAGGCCTTCAGACAGGTGAGCAGCACCGAGGGTAGCTTGAAGCAGCACGGTCTCCAGGAAATAGTATTTCGTCCTATTTATTACTCTGTTTATGCATCCCACAAAGACTGGTAATATTTTATGTGTACTTGTTGCCACACGTGTGACACATATGTGCTGTAGCAAAAGGTTGGACTTTTAATGCCCACATGCAGCACATATGGGGCAGTACAGTGGCTAAATGGTTAGCACTTCCGTCTGGCAGTACTAGGGTTGGTTCGAATCCCAACCACGGCACCACCTGCCTGGAGTTTGCATGTTCTCCCTGTCCCTGCGTGGTTTTTTTCTCCCACACTCCAAAGACATGCTGGTAGGTTATTGGCTCCTGTCTAAATTGGCCCTCGCATGTGTATGTATGAATGTAAGTTAGGGACCTTAGATTGTACGCCCCTTGAGGGTTAGCGCTTTTTAAATTTAAATAGAAGTACCTGAAATAAATATGCATCACTGGGTAAATGATGTTTCCGTGCAGAAAGCACACTCACAGAGGCCAAACTGTCAGCTCTCGGCTCCCACTAACAACTGCTAGCTGGTGGGACCAGCACCCAATCATGTGACCACTCTAACAGTCAATCACAGTGGTCACATGATTGCCAATCCTTCTTTCCCCCTGGGCATTCAGAACCTTTTAAAGATATGCCGAATTTCAAGTGGAACTGAACTCAAAAAATTTTAAGGAACATTTAGAAGTGTTAATACCTAAGCAGTACCCTATGAAAAAAAAGAAAAATACCCTTTGTTTTTAATTCCAACTTAAAAATGGCACTTGCTGGTTTGGGAGTGTGCCTGCAGCCTCATAGTTGTATATCTGCTGTGTGAGATCTAAGGCACTGCTGCCTCCCACTCAAGTCTCAGGTTTAGAGTAAGATTTGGTGATGTCACTACTGTGCTCCTTAGTATTCTCCTTCCTGGAGGCTCTTGCATGATGAAGCAAAATCCTACCTCTAGGAAGATGGCTGCCTCCATAAAGAGACAGAGTGCTGAACAAGCTACAGTCAGCAATGGGGTAAAGATCAGCTGCAGGAAGACCAGAGGCAATACTGGCGACTAGTCCTTCTAGCCTTTTGTATTTAGGCACAGTTTGCAGAGTTCATTCCCTCGTTACATTTGAGTGTGGATCCACTTTAACCCTATGTTCACACCTATACAGTTTGCGTTTGACCCGTTTCTGCATTGCGTTTTTTATGCGTTTGTTTCTTTTTCTTGTTGCTAGCCAGAATTAAAACGCAAACATATCAAAAACGTGGCAAAAACAAACTACATGCTTTTCTGCAGCGTTTCCATTGAAGTCTATAGAACCAAAAACGCTACTTTTTGTGTTCAAAAAAGTCTCATAGGAAATCATGTTAAATGGACTGTAGTGCGTTTCTGAAAAACGCTGCAGAAAACCGCTTAGGTGTGAACCTAGAGTAAATCTTAGAAACCAGAATACAGTTTTGCAAGTAATGTGATTCAGCCATGACTGTCAACCATTACTTAATCCCTCTTGTGAGGAGGCAACCTGTCTTCTAGATGTCGAGAACTTACACCAGCCTTTCTCAACCTTTCTAGCATGGAGGAACCCTTGAAATATCTGTCTGGTCTCAGGGAACCCCTGATAATTATTTTATCCACAGCTCAGTGTTTCAACAGTGTGATGATCAAAAGTAAGAATGTTCTTTATATTTAGGGTCAGTAGGAAGAATCCCCCTTTACAGATCGTTAAAAAGATCCCTGGTGTCAGTAGATACTCATATAAGAAGGCAGAAGTTTTATTGCTCAAGGAACTCTTAGCCCCGGTTCACACTGATGCGGTGCGGAATTCAGCACCGCACCCAGTTCATGTGAACCGCTGCGGGTGTGTATGTTAAGTTAACAACACCCCGAAAGCGGTCCACAAAACGCGGTGCGATGTGCAGAATCAGATCGCATAGGTGTGAATACCCATGCGATCCGATTCTAGTGTGGACCAAAAAAAGGGTCCTGCAGGTTTTTTTTGGTGCGGGTGCGGTGCGATTAGAGCCATATAAAATGTATGGCTCCAACTGCACTGCACACAAATCACATGTGATTTGCACAGGAATCCTTTGCGAATCACATGCGATATACTGCACTGCATATATGTGAACCCAGGCTAAGCAACCTCTGGAGAAACCCTAGCAGAGAAAGGCTGGCTTAAACGTCAGTGTTAGCGAATGGTTAGCAAGTGGCACTAATCACAGTAGGCACACACAACAAGGAACCCCACTGTGGGCCTCATGTTGGCAAATGACAAAGGCAAGCCAAAGATGAATTTATTTTCTCTCTTTCAACCAAGGATGTTAGAATCCCCCATCAACACATTCAGTGTTAATGGGGGCAGAGGTGGACTGACAACTCATGGGGCTCCCGGGCAACAGGGGATCATAGAGCCCCTGTGTCCTCACCAACACCCAAAAAAGCCTGTGAAAAAGCCAATGAAAGGTACCAGGGGCATCTCATGGGGCCCCCTACTGACCCGGGCCCTCGGGCAGTGCCTGAGTGTTGGAATGGTCTGTCTGCCCATGGATGGGGAATGCCTACTGCAGTGTTATTGTATTTTGCTGGTGGTGTTGTGCACATGGAGCTTTCCCAGCCAACAGAATACAATGATTACTGCTAGCGGCCACGGGCAGTAATCAAATGCAAAAATTTGACAGGCTGGTCGTACCAAAGTCAAATCAATGTTTCGACTTTGGTACAAATCGACCTGTATGTAGATGTATGCGCAAACTGTTGGCACTATATAAATCCTGTATAATAATAATAATGTATCCGCGCTGAACTGGCCGAGATTCATTCAATCTATGGCCAGCAAAAGACCGCTTTACTACTTTGCCAAACATTACTGAACAAAAGGCTTGCGTGTAAGCCTACATTGGGGACACTGTACAGTAAGCCCCCCTGTGCAGAGAACATTGTGATATTATGTATTCCAATAGGATGCTCCCCCATAAACAAATGAAATCCCTCTCACTTTACTGGCTTCCCACGAATCTCCGCCATAATCGAACTCTCCCCACCAAGGTACTCAAAGCAAAGGCTGAGGAAGCTGTAGATGACAAATGCTGTTGGAAAGAATAAATATAAGTAGTGAGATAAAACAAGATAAGAAGTAATATAACACACCAAGCAACAAAATCAATCAAAATGTTATTTTAAATCTATGAAACCAATCTCACTACATTTAGACATCCTAACACCATTATGAAGACAGTTTCCAAGAGAAGCTTGGAATAGATTAGTACAGTGAAGGAAATAAGTATTTGATCCCTTGCTGATTTTGAATGTTTGCCCACTCACAAAGAAATGATCAGTCTAAAAATCGAAAGGTAGGTGTATTGTAACACTGAGAGACAGAATAGCAACAAAAAAATTCAAAAGGAATGCATGTCTAACAAAAGATGCACTGATTTGCATGTTAATGAGTGAAATAAGTATTTAATCTACTATCATTATTTATTTATTTCAGGTTCTTATATAGCGCTGCCAATTGACGTAGCGCTTTACACATATATATTGTACATTCACATCAGTCCCTAACCCTCAAGGAGCGTACAATCTAAGGTCCCTAACTTACATTCATACATACATATATAAGGGCAATTTTTTAGACAGGATCCAATTAACCTACCAGCATGTCCTTGGAGTGTGGGAGGAAACCGAAGTACCCGGAGGAAACCCACGCAGGCACAGGGAGAACATGCAAACTCCAGGCAGATGGTGCCGTGGCTGGGATTCAAAACCAACGACCCTGGTACTGCCAGGCGGAAGTGCTAACCATTTAGCCACTGTGCTGCCCTATCATTCAGCAGGATTTCTGGCTACCAGGTGTCTTTCACACAGGTAACAAGCTGCGATTAGAAGCTGTCTCTTAAAGGGAGTGCTGCTAATCTCATTTTGTTAACTGTATAAAAAAACACCTGTTCACAGGAGCAATCAAACAATAGATTCCAAAACTCTCCACCATGGCAAAGACCAAAGAGCTGCCCAAGGATGTCAGGGACAAGATAGTAGACCTACACAGGGCTGGACTGGGCTACCAAACCCATACCATTCGATTTTTAGACTGACCATGTCTTTGTGAGTGGGCAAACATTCAAAATCAACAGGGGATCAAATACTTATTTCCTTCACTGTATATATTCAAACAAAGCTGAGCTCTGGGTCTAAAAAAGACACAGCTTAATGCTGCTCTGTTTTTATTAAAAGATAATTAGGTGTCATTTTCAAATGCAAACAGAGTAAGTATCCAAACTTGACTTGGGATCAGCCATTTGCAATCTCTTATACATCAGTGCTCAGACGGAGACGTAGCAAAAGTAGCTGCTTTGCACATGCTAATAGGAAGGAGAGAGCAGAGTGACAAAGAGATGAGCTCATCAGTCTGCTGCTACTCCTTTCAATGTCTAGTCAAAGTGGGTGAATGGTGAGGGTATAGGATGTTAGCTCAGATTTTCATTTTTTTTTCTTAAACAGTGAACTTAAGCTATTGAAAATTACACAAATAACTGAAATAACTTGTCACAGTGACCCCTCCCTTACTAGATGACTTTATCCAACATTTCAGTAGGTGATAGCCAGTATCCCTGAAAAAATGAGATTACTGCTGTGTTGTCTCCTTAGATAATTTACAGTGTTCTGGGAACTCTGTCATGTATTACATTTTTTTTGAAAGACAAAACTTGTATAACACAAAACAGATATAACATTTTCAGATTTAAAAAGTATAAACATTTAAAAAAAAAAAATCAATAAAAATTTCCCTTTAAAACAGCTGGCTCCCTAAAGCTGGCCATAGATGGATTGTTTTTCTTTCATTCAGCCAGCAGGCTGAACTAAAAAAAAAAATAAAAAAATAAATATATATATATATATATATATATATATATATATATATATATATATATATATATATATAATGTGTTCTTCCTTTCCCACAAACACGGTGCTAAGACATTGTATACACAAAAACACTGCTAAGATATTGTATTCTGACCTGGGGACTCTCAGTTGTCAAAATATCCTGATCAGTGGTTGCAGGCCATTGGCTGCAGCTGCTGATCGAAAAATGTTTTCCAACATTTGATCGTTAGATTGCCCACACATAGATTTGATCCATCTATGGCCAGCTTTAGTCAAGCTTAATGCGGTTAGAGTGACATATAATTCCCTCACCTTCATAGCAATCCCTCACCGAGTCAAAGTACACATAGTACTGGTCATTGGCAATGAGTAAGAGGCTCAGCCACGAGTCAAAGGAATAGATGGGGACAATGAACAAGATCCGAATGATGTAGCGTTGCTCATTTGGGATAGTGTAATTTCTGAGGTGAATGTAGATCTGTAAGAACAAAAAAGCATTAGTAGTAGAATGGACTTACTTAAGGTGTTTCTAAAGCCAAAACTATTTCATTTTAAATTTAGAGTGGATGAAGGGTTAGAATCTCGGTCATTTTTTGCCCGTGTCTTCCTGGGAAGATGTACCCACTATTTATACTGGTGGCCGTTAGACTAAAAGTGAGAGGAAAAAAAAAAATAGTCACAGATCATTGGTGATATCGGTCTACAAGTGGATTTCCCCTCAATTCCTGTGGTGTTGATGGTACAGGAAGTGAAGAAAAATCTCTACCATAGAACACAAACGCCAAAAACAAAACTGATGGTAAACCCCCCAAAAATGGATAGAAGGATAGAGGGAATGAAGAAAGGAGGGGAAAAAAGGACGACAAGAAGGATGAAAAGAAGGAAGGATAGAGAAAAGGAAAGAAGGAAGAAACGAAGGACAGGAAAGAAAGAAGGAAGAAATAGAGAGAAGGAAAGAAGGAAGAAACGAAGGACAGGGAAGAAAGAAGGAAGAAATAGAGAGAAGGAAAGAAGGAAGAAACGAAGGAAGGGATATGGAGAAGGAAAGAAGGAAGAAAAGAACATCTGGATTTGGAGAAGTTTACCTTCATATCATACACATTTAGTACCTTAGGTTATATGCTTTCCAGTCCAGTAGTGGGTATTGCATGTGCTTTAAAAATTATGCAGGGGTTACATTCCCAGTATTTTTAATGCGTTGTTCATGTTTTAATGTATTGTAATAAACTGGCTGAGTTTCAATTATGTGTCCTGTGTTATGCCAACAAAGTCCATTATTTGTGGGTGGCTAGTTAAAGTGTCACTAAACCCAGAACCCTGCATTCTCTCTATCTGGTCTCCCACAGTACACAGAACAAAGAAATGCAATTATTTTAGTAATCAGAAGTTAGAGCAGTTTTGTGACTTCAGAAGAGCACTGGCTAATGCTTGTAGGGGGAGTTTTCTTTCTTCTCTAGGAGGAAACACCTGACCTCTGTCTGGACAGTGCTGATTGGCCCTGTGCTAATCACATGCACTCTCCCAAGAAATAAAAATACCTCTCTAGCAGTACACACCACCTGAGCACGTGCATGTGACTACGGTTCAGTCTGTCTTATCAGTTTGACATTTGAACAAGAGGAGGGGCAGAGAAAACAGGATCAAACAGCCTTTTTACACAATGCAGAGGATTAATCCCTTTGGTTCCACATTGGGTAAAACAAGCATGCTTTTTTGCATATAGAGACTGATTTTACTGTTGCAGATTTAGTAACACTTTAAGGGGGTGGATACCACTTTTTTTAAAAAAAAAAAAAAAAAAAGAAAAAAGAAAGAAAGACAAAGAAAAAAGAAAGACAAAGAAAAAAGAAAGACAAAGAAAAAAGAAAAAGAAAAGAGAAAAAAAAGAGAAAAAAAGAAAAAGAAAAAGAAAAAGAGAAAGAAAAAGAAAAAGAAAAAGAGAAAGAAAAAGAAAAGAAAGAAAAGAAAAAAAAGGAGTAAAAGAAGGAACGAGTTCACTTTAAAGACAAACTTTTTTTTTGCTGTTTGTGGAGTGGGAAAGGGTATATAGATATATACTCTGTAAAGTGATCTGTATGTGTAAAAAAAAAAAACAAAAAAACCACATACACACGTCACGTCATAAAAATGTAAGATATTGCAGCTAACCAGCCCAAGAAGGCCGATAGCATTGTTTGGAGTTTTTCTTAAGTCTCGTAAGATACAAAGAAACTTGGATTTCTGGCCGTATCAATAAGTATTTTCCTGTACTTGCAGAAAAATAAGAAAACAAATGCAGTCACCATATCAAAGGTCTGGTATGCTGCAATCTATTACATTGTTGTTACTGGGTGTAGACAGTAATAATATCTCACTTAGCTCACACAACCCAATGAAAGAGGAGTGTTAGAAATGGCCATGAGGAATCCGAATACGTTATCAGAAAGCAATGCCAATCAATAGGTGAGCACACAGCTAACAGGAAGAGAAGGCCGGGTAGACCCTGAGATGTCAGTACATGTAGAGCAAGGGTCACTTCCCTGATCAAACATACGAGCAGCCAGTGGCAACCAGAGATATCGCTGTAGGTATGACAACACTGGAGAAATCAGCAATAAAAGCATGTGATCTGAGCCATTCTGCCCTATTACACATGTACAGCTGCTGATAAAATGGTTAGACGATTACAGAAGCTCACAAGTGACTTAGTGCAAATGAAATTTAACAGCCGGACAGCTCTGACTCAGTGCCTCGTGCTACAATCACCCATTATCTCATATACTTTATTTTTCCCACACCAGCAGAATAGGAGCATCATGGAAAGGAAAATAGGACTAGATAAAAATAGTAAGCGAGACAAGGAAATGAAGAATTCAATGATACGATGAATTAAATTCACAGAACACAGTTGCCAACAATCTAGAATTATTTCCAGGAACAATTTGCCCTTTGATCATGGAATGCTTCGTTCACCAATCTAGAAGTTTGTGGTTTCCTACTACAGCCAGGGGCGGACTGACCATTTGGAAACTCAGGCACTGCTCGAGGGCCCGGGGTCAGTAGGGGGCCCCATGAGATGCCCCTGGTACCTTTTTCATAGGCTTTTTTGAGTTTTGGCAAGGACACAGGGGCCCCATGATCCCCTATTGCCGGGGGCCCCATGAGTTGTCAGTCCGCCCCTGACTACGGCTTTTATATTGTAATACATTCAAAGCCTATGGTTCTCTTACAAGGAACTTCAAAAAACAAGTGTTTTAATACAAATAGTGCATTGATAAAAGAACACTTAAATACACTGATGTAGATACAGTAAGCAGAGGACATGGGACACCAAACTCTGTAAATAAGTTGTCCAAATTTTGATGTTCCCAGAGTTATCTCCGAAGTGTTACCAACTATCCCAGAGGGTAAGGTATCCCAACCATTAAAAACTTTATGAGCAATTTCCTCAAATGCCACAGCTTGCGCTGAACTTGATGGTGGTGGAAGGAATCATGCCACAATGGCCTCACTCTGACCAGGCGAATGAAGGCTCCTAGGGAAAGGATCAAGGGAAGGAGCCTGCAATGGCAAAAAAACACACCAAAAATGTTTCTCAGATGCATGTACATGCATTTTTTTTATGAGATTCCAGTGAAGTCTATGGGGCAAAATTGCACCATATCACACCAAAAAAATAAAATGCAGAATTTTCAAAAACAGATTTAGGCTCCATGCACACTAGCATTAAGCTCCTAGTAGCTGTTATCAGCATATTTTTTATGCTCCTTGAAGCTAAATAGTATTATCCTATGTGTCCATACAAACTACTTTGGACTATTAGCATTTTTTGAGCTTCAGCATCTAGGAGCAGAAAAAAAAAAAAGTTTTTGTAGAGTTTTTTTGGAGCTTTTTTCCCCAGCAGAAAAATATGTGAAACGCTCCTAAACACTGTTAGCCCCTTCACGCCTAATGGTAACAAATCTTAAAGCCGAAGCAGAATTTTGCAACTTTGACATGTTAGCAGAACTGTACATATCATCACAACTACTTTGTGCATCCAGGTGAATTAAAATTGGGCTTTCGTTTTGTGATAAATGGTAATGGATATCTCCTGATTTTTTTTTAATTATCAAAAGGTAAAACTAACCCAAAAAGTAGTAAAAAAAACCCCAAAAAACTAACTTTTTTTAACCAAATCCCGACCACCCTATAGCAGATATATTGCTACAGGATGGCAGGGGTGCGCAAAATCACGTATATATACACAAGTGACTTTGTATCTCTGGGTAGGGGGCACGCGAGGCGGCCATGGCTGTCAATCACCTGATCCCAACTGATTATTACCAAGCATTTCTGACGGGGAGGAGGACTGCTTTGTTTACTAACAGTCCTCCTTCCTGTCGGCTCGGGCACACTGCTCTGGATGGCTGTGCACAACATACAGAGCAGTGTGTTTACAGTAAAGCACCAACACACCGCCCCCTAGTAAAACACTCACAGCAAACAGTTAACCCTTTGATCGCCCCTCATGTTAACCCTTTCCTGCCCAGTGCCATTAGTACAGTTTTTTGGGTTTTTTTTTTTTTTTTTTTTTTTAGCACTGATCACTGTATTGGTGTCACTGGGGATGTCAGTGACATTAAGTCAGTTCCCCCCAGTGTCAGAATGCCACCGCAGTCACACTATAAGTTGCTGATTGCCGCCAATTCCAGTATCTATTCCGCCATTTGTAAACGCTATAACTTTCATGTAAACCAATTAATTTACACGTATTGGGATTTTTGTTATCAAAGAGACATGTAGCAGAATATATTTTGTCGTACATTTATGACGAAATTTGATTTAAATTTATTTAGTGGACATGTTTAATAGCAAACAGTAAAAAATAGTTTTTTTTCAAAATGTGTGTGTTTTTTTATAGCGCAAAAAAAAAAAAAAAAAAAAAAACGCACAGGCGATCAAATACCACCAAAAGAAAGCTCAATTTATGGGAAAAAAAGGACAAATCTCATTTGGGTGCAGTGTTGCATGACTGCACAATTGTCAGTCAAAGTAACGCAGTGCTGTAATGCCAAAAAAAAAAAAATCTTGACAAAAAAAAAAAAAAAAAAAAAGTATACTGACCCTGACCTTGATCCAAAACACTAACCTTGGTACTGACCTATATCAAACCTTGGTCTAGGTATTTTTATTTTTTTTTATTATTCCCTGGTCTCCTCCTCCCATGCCCGTCTCCAGGACTTCTCCAGGGCTTCCCCCATCCTCTGGAGCTCACTACCCCAATCCATCAGACTGTCACCTACTTTCCTCACCTTTAGGCGCACCCTGAAAACCCACCTCTTCAGGGAAGCTTACCCGCCCTCAGCTAACTGCTGATCTCTTTCACTCTTCTTATCACTCCATCCCCCACAGCTATTTCCTCCTGTACCACTATCCCCTCCCTCCTAGATTGTAAGCTCCAAGGAGCAGGGCCCTCAAACCCCTCGTGTATTGTACTGTCTCGTATACTGTCTCCCATTATAATGTACAGCACTGAGCAAACTGTTGGTGCTATATAAATACTGTATAATAATAATTCTTTTTACAAACACTTCTTTCTCTCTGAAAGGACAAAGATACAATGTATCTCTCTCCTCCATTCAGAGAGAGAAAACAAGGGGGGTGGGCTTCACAGTGACTGATCACTGTGATATCCAATCAGAGGCTTTCACAGCGATCATGTGACACGGAAACCGGAGTTCCAGGTCCTGATTGTTAGAACGGCTCTCACCGACACCCAGATCTTTGTGCTGGGAGCGTGCCGCACAAAGACAGGTAGGCAAATTGGCGGCCCCACGGAAAAAAAGCCCAGTCCAGTGGGACTGCTAATTTGCATACGTTAAGCACTACTAAAACGCTCCTAACAGCTTTTTTCTAGATTTTTTTCTCTCTACATAAACTGTAAAATGCTAATAAAATGTTAACACTGCTAAATGCTCCTAAAATGCTATTACCAGCGTTTTTTGAGCTTAAAAAAAAAAACAAAAAAAAAAAAAAAACACTAATGTGCATGGAGCCTAAAATAAAATTGCAAAAAAGTGAATGTGCACCATAGGAAACGATAGGATTCCTCTTCTGCAATGTCACACCGATGAGAACGTGGGCTCACAGAATATTAGAGTTTGTATTTGAATCTGGACATAAACAGGTCATAGGTAACGAAGACCTTTTTCATTTCTCAAAGACATCATGAATAAGTAGATGCAGTCATGACCCACTCCTATCCAATACGTCATTGGCTTAGGCACCTTTATGGAGGATTCCCCTTATTTCCTTGCTGGAGAGCCTATGTCTACCCATGTACTAGGGGGGTGTAGGCCTGTGCTCCCAGCTATAAACGGACTGCCTTGGCTGTGAACAATATAGGTTACACCTTCTATGGACCATTACCAACCAAGAAAAGTCATTTAAACTGCCGGTACAGACTGCCTTCTACTTTTGGGTTGACATTCAGTCCATTCAGATGTTGATCACTGCAGATGGATGCAACTTTGTACAATCATGCCAAAAGAAATGGCCATTGAGAAATTGTTCCAGGTTTGGGCTTGATCATGGATGGCCAAATTTGAAGCTGAATGAAATCATAGTTTTGTTCCAGTGCATGGCCAACTGGAAGTATATATGAATTGCACAGTGGCTTAGTGGTAAGCACTTCCACCTGGCAGTACTAGGGTCGTTGGTTCGAATCCCAACCACGGCACCACCTGCCTGGAGTTTGCATGTTCTCCCTGTGCCTGCATGGGTTTCCTCCCACACACCAAAGACAAGCAGGTAGGTTAATTGGATCCTGTCTAAATTGGCCCTAGTATATATGAATGTGAGTTAGGGACCTTAGATTGTACACCCCTTGAGGGTTAGGGACTGATGTGAATGTACAATATATATGTAAAGTGCTGCGTAAATTGACGAGGCTATATAAGTACCTGCAATAAATAAATAAATAACCCAAGAAATGGAATATATTACAGCTTTCTTTATATGTGGTAGCTGCATTATTTCCTTTTTTCCATTTTCAACTAGTGATCCTGCAAGCACAACACACTTCTTGTCCTAGAGTGACAATGATCACTCACTAAAAACTTTATCTATTGGGTAGCAGGTTAAGCACCTTTGGAGAGGAAGTGTGTAAGGACTACAGAACACCTCCTACTCTCTACATCTCCATAACATAGGGGCATTGTGTGGGCCAGAGAGAAGACCTGGGTTGGTCTGGTAACATTTCTTGATTTACCACACAGTCTATGGGATGACACAGGACTTCTGGCAGGTTCAACAGGTATTTTGTTTTACACTTACCAACCAGATATAACAAAACACTTTCAGTGGTATAAAAAGAAAGGTGCTATGCCTAGATATATTCCCCACAGAGGTGGGCTGGCGGTGCTCTGGCACAACTTGAAAATGAAGATTCGGAGAGCCAGCTACTCATCTTCCCAATTGTTTAACTTTATTGAGCAAGTAAGATGAACAGGTAAAGTACTTACGCGTTTCAGCAATAAGCCTGAATCATAGCCATAGGATTGATGGCTTGCAGTTATATTGCTGTAAGCTTTTTTACCTGTACATCTTACTCACTCAAAGTTAACCGCCTCCCACACGCCATATAAGGAAATGACAGGAGGGCGGCGGCTCTCTCTCGTTCCGTTCATATGACGTCCTCCCACTGTAACTGCACATGCACATCCCCTGGGGCGTGCGGCAATCGGTGGTGCGCTGTGTCCCCAGGACACAGCGAATCACCTATCACAGTAAAGAGACGATGACACAGGCTCTGTCAAGTGATCAGCTGTGTCCAATCACAGCTGATTGCATGTAAAACATGAAATGTCGGTTATAGGCAGTCCTCTCCTCATGCTGACAGCACATGAGGAGAGCCAGTAAGCGGCATTCCTCAGAGGGGACATCTACACTGATCATCAGGGCACTGATGATCAGTGTAGAACCATCAATGCCACGTATCAGTGCCCATCAATGCCACGTATCAGTGCCTACCAGTGCCCATCAATGCCACGCATCAGTGCCCATCAATGCCACGTATCAGTGCCCCATCAATGCCACGTATCAGTGCCTACCAGTGCCCATCAATGCCACATATCAGTGCCCATCAATGCCACATATCAGTGCCCATCAATGCCACATATCAGTGCTTACCAGTGCCCATCAATGCCACATCCCAGCACCCATCAATGCCACATCCCAGCACCCATCAATGCCACATCCCAGCACCCATCAATGCCACATATCAGAGCCTACCAGTGCACATCAATGCCACATATCAGTGCCCATCAGAGCTGCCTTTCACTGCCAACTATCAGTGCCAGTCAGTGCTGCCCATCAGTGCCACCTGTCAGTGCCCACCAGTGACACCAATCAATGCCCACCAGTGACACCTAACAGTGCAGCCTATCAGTGCCCATCACAGCAGCGTCATTAGCGCACTAATTTACAACATTTTATAACAAAGTAAGAAAACTTTTTTTTACTTCTAAAATACAGTCTTTTTTAGTTTGTTTAGAAAAAAAAAAAAAAATAAAAAACCCAGTGGTGATTCAATACCACAAAAAGAAACTACGTCTCAAAAAAAATATTTATTTTTGGGTGCAGTGTTGCATGACCCGCGCAACTGTCATTCAGAGTGAGACAGCGCTGAAAGCTGAAAATTAGCCCGGGCAGGAAGGGGGTAAAAGTCCCCGGTAGGCAAGTGGTTAAACAACTGGGAAGAGGAGTAGCCGGCTCTCCGAATCGTCACTTTCAGTGGTATATTTATCAGACCAAACAAGAGAAATACATTGTTCAGTTTTAGATAGAAGTTGAGGCCCATGTTTGTAGAGTTTCTGACTCCCATCTCTTCTAGAACCATCATTATTCAGCATTTGAACGACTCCTTACCTGGTGGCAGGTCAGCAGCAGAGCAGTCCACACGAACAACCCCGAGATGCCCTGTGCGGCCGCTGTTGTGAGGAATAACTGATCTCCATCGATGGTGGTATTGGAAGCTGTCCGAAGCTGAGCAGCAGTCTCACTGTCCATACTAAATATATCCAGCGATCTGACAGGCGTAGTTTGATCCGTCGTAGGATTCAGAGTAGAATAGGACACGTTCGGATCCATCGTGGAGAACTGTTCAGCCATGCTGTTATTCATCTGTGCAGAGCCTGTCAGGGAGCAAAGGTAAAGTCAGGCTTCGCCAGGCGCTCAGGATAGTAGCTGGAGAGGATTATATATACTGTGATCATCTCACACATGGGGAGGAGTTATTGGAATCAGAAGATTAATAGGATATTCCGTCAGTAATACAACCTACTGTATGATATATATAGTATGCATCAGCATTAACCCAAAGTACACTAAAAAACAAAAAAAAAAAAAACTAAAAAAAGAATTCTGGCCCCAAGAAAATCCATAGAACGCTATTAAAGAACTGTTGAAATCAGTAAATATAATAATGACATAAAACACACTTTGAAATAATTTTAGTCTTTCATGGTCAAATGACACTGACAGGTATATTAATAAGCAGCATCAATAGCATTTTTTTTTTACTTTTTGAGAATAGATCTGTTTATTCCAAGCGGGCTAAACATAAAAAAAAAAAAAAATGATTCCTCCATCCACAAAAACAAGGTGGATGGAGGAATCCTCCCCTCCAGGTCATTATATTCCAACAGAGGGAATCTCCATTGTCAGGCTACACTGATCGGTGGCTGCAGCCAACATTGTGTAAACAGCCCAGGTCTCTCTCCTGTCAGCAAGGACATTATGCACAGCAGAGAAATACAAAGCATTATGTCTCCATAGTAAAACACAGCACATATTATAAAACACGCACAGCACACAGTTAACCCTTTGATTGCCCCAGATGTTAACCCCTTCCTGCCCAGTGTCATTAGTACAGCGTCAGTGCTTCTTATTAGCCTTGATCATTGTATTAATGTCACTGGGGATGTCAGTGGCAGTTAGTTCCCACTCAGTGTCAGAATGCCCTGCCGCAGTCCTGCAGACCCGCTATAAGTCACTGATCGCCGCCATTACTAGTATTACTAAAATGTAAAAAAATAAAATTCCAGTGTATATATAAAATATATATATATAATATATATATATATATATATATACACAGCCATTTGTAGGTGCTATAACGTTCACCTAAACTAATTATTATTATTATACACTTATTGGGATTTTTTTTTTTAGCAAAGACGTGTAGCAGAATACATTTTGGCCTAAATTTATGAAGAAAGTTAAATTTTTTTTTTACTGGATATGTTTTATAACAAAAAGTAAAAAATAGGTTTTGTTTTTCAACATTGTCAGTCTTTTTTGTTTAAACATTCACAGAAATTTTCCAACATACCTGTAACGATCGACTTTTGTTTAGTAGGGATGGCCACACATGGATTGAAATTTGGCTGCTCCCTGCTGATCCCACTGAATTTCAATCCATCTATGAATAGCTTTAGGTAATTTTCACATGGAAATCCAGTTTTTAAAGAATACTCAATCATGTGCAAGGAAAAAAATAAATAAATAAAAAAGGAAAAAACAAAAAAAAAAAAAAACACAAACAGCATTTTAGCTTGCACATGATTGGATGATGAAAGTCAGCAAAGCTTCCTCTCATTCACGAAGTGAGGGAACATTTCCTTACAGAATGCAAATCGCCTTGCAAAGTGAGCAACTTATTTGCCCTTATTATATCAAGCCTATTAAATTCCTCCAGTCTTTCCTAATATGTTTTATATCTCAGGCTTTGCCCAATTTTTGTTGACTTTTTATGGACTCTATGGATTCTGAATTATCAATATCTTTTTGTATGCATCTCCAGAACCTTCAGGGATAACAACTCTTAACTAAAGTTAAATCTAAAATGCAGACCAAAGCCCCGTATACACGATACGAAAAATTTAGCGGAACCACTGATCGAACGATTTTCTCTTCGTTGATGAGCAGGATGTTTTAACCGATAATATTGTGAACGAAAAAATCCGGTGAAAAATTTTGTTGTTTCACATACGAACGACCGATTTTCTATGCGGTGGTATGTCGTACGAAAAAAATCTATCAAGCGCTAACATGCATGAGCGGAAACAGAAGGTGCCCCAGATATTTATGTCCAAGAAATCTTCGTAAAACACGAACAAAAAATCCAAATGTTAAAAGTAGATTGGCCTAATGAGATCATGAAACCGGAATTCTGCAGATTATATTTTATGTATCACTATTTATGTATATAGGTCATGTAATAAACTATATTATACTCATTGCTGGGAATTGTTGTGTATATCGCTTGTTCTGGCCGGAAGGGCGTGGCTACAAGGTCACACACACACTGCATCACTTCCACGTGTACGGACGACATCAACACTACATATTGCTCGACGAACGATTTTTTTTAGATTGGTTAATGTGGGCCACGATTTTGACCAACGAACAAATGCCTCTCGGTTGTCGGATGACCGATCGGTCGTTTTTCTAATCGTGTATTCCCACCTTTTTTATGCTTTAGTAAATCTGTAAACCAAGTAACTATTCTCATCACAATTGAAGAGACGTGATCATGTTGTCTAGAATCTGATACTCGAAAAAGCAAGATTATGCCATCGACATGGTGTGTGTGCATTAGAACAGAAGTGTTTATTGTATTACGGGTTTATTTTCTAGTTCACACCAAACCAACATCCCAAACACCAAAGCTGGGTACACATGGTCCAAATATCGACCAGTTCAGCAGCAACCAGCTACCATCTGGACCATGCATACAGCTGTCTTTCCAACACAAGCTGGTCTAAGGACCAGCTTTTGTCAAAGGACCATGCCAGAAAACCATCATCTGATCAGTGCTGGCAGTCATTGGCTGCCAGCGCTGGTTGGTGTGGTCCGGCAGGGGGGATAGGGGTTGGGGCGTACCCCTTTCAGAACACAATAGCAGAGCGGGAGAGATCGCTTCACTAACATTGCTTCGTTAACACAACGATTCCTCAGTATTTTTTTCGTTCGTCCCGCTGGATTAAATGAAGATAAAAAAAAAAGTGTGCACAAGGCTTAAGTGTTGACTAAAAAAGGTCAGGGGCGCCTATATTTTTCTAACCAAAAAGGGCTTTGAGGTCAAAGGGATTGAGAGTTTCATAAATATGAACCAATGGTTTGGAAGATTGGTTTATGGAACCAGTCTAGCAATCTGGATAAGACAGATGCAGCATATTAGAGGGGTGATATCTGGATACCGTCCCCACCTTTAAATTTACGTACAGCATAGTCTGGGTACACAAATAATAAGCCCCATATAGAAGGTCATTAAAAGCTTTTTTGCAGTGTCTGGTAGAAAGAAGGAATTGGCATCATTTGGAACGTGTATAGAAACCTTGTGTGATTCCTAAGGCAAGTGATCATAATTCTTAAGGTATGCGTTTTTGTAGGCAAGGTGGGTAGTATAGAACATATAGCTGGGTGAGATCAGGGCTGTTGTTAGAAACCACAGGGCCCCATACAGCCAACTTAACAGGGCCCTCCACTCCAAGAAAAACTGTTTACTATGCTTTAAATTTATGATTTAACACAGTGAGTGATCGGTCATTGTGTTCCTTCAGGCTGGTAAATGTGACTTATTTACCAGACCCTTCCCCCACCCCTGAAGGATCCTATTATGTGCTTGCAGCTGCTGGTGGTAAGGAGAGGAGGGAAGTCGGAAGCAGGGGCGGACTGACAACTCATGGGGCCCCCGGGCAATAGGGGATCATGGGGCCCCTATGTCCTTGCCCAAACTCAAAAAAGCCTATGAAAAAGGTACCAGGGGCATCTTATGGGGCCCCCTACTGACCCCGGGCCCTCGGGCAGTGCCCGAGTTTCCAAATGGTCAGTCCGCCCCTGGTCAGAACCACTGCAAGGTTGGGGGACACAAAGGGGAAACTGGCAGGGTGAAAAGTATGGTGCACAGGTAGGATGATGGGTGCAGGTGCAATTACTGGAACTGATCCCCTGTATGGCTTACTCTGCAGCAGCTGAAAGCAAGCAGAAAGGAAATTAGAAGAAGCCAGATTTCAGCTGCTGCAGGGAGAGCCATACAGGGGATCAGTTCCAGTAATTGCCCCTACCACCATACCGATCACCCTCCCTGCCCACATCCGATTCACCCAGCTGCCTGGACCCCATACAGGAGGACTGGTGGTACCCCCTTATCCATGGCCCTGGGTGAGATCTACAGTATATGGACCCTAAAGTAATATAGGAAGTGTGGACATTTTTTTAAAGATGAAATTCTGGAAGAGTGTCTTGTTGGGGTGATAAGGATACAGTCAAACTTCTGATTTGGAGCAACTCCCTATGAAATTGCTAAATGAACCAAAACCCTTCAATCCAATAATGAAGAAAGGCTTTCTGCGCTGATACTGAGAGCAGGCATGAGGGTGTGTGGAATGTTTGTGCATGATGGATTACAAAAAATTGTTTTCAGGGTATTATCACATGCTTCTCATCCCTGCACAAAGCCTCACTTGGTCCTGGTGGATTGTTTGTGGAAGATTTGGTTGCAGTTGGTTGGCTATTATTTTGTAAAAAAGTTTAAGGTCGACTCCTACGAGGGAGAGCGGGTGATAATTTGAACTGAGGGAGTAATCTTTATCTGGTTTGGGGATTAGGGAGAGGTGAGCCTTCAAAGCTTTGGGTGGGGAAGAGGTTTTCATCTGAAAAAGAATGGAAGACCTCGAAAAGAAAAAAAAGTTGTAGATTGTAGGTGTGAATCCCTGTCAGGATTTTTTAAACTGAACTCAAAGCAGATATACAGTCACCAACCACTTTATTAGGTACACCTTGCTGGAGCCAAGGACATATCTCCTACACCATTACACCACCACCAGTCTGGACCGTTGATACAAGACAGGATGGATCCATGCTTTCATGTTTACACCAAAATTCTGAACCTACTATCTGAATGTCACAGCTGTATTCGAATACCCATTCTCCTCTGACATCAACAATGCATTTTCATCCAGACAACTGCCACTCACTGGATATTTTCTCTTTTTTGGACCATTCTCTGTAAACCCTAAAGATAGTTGTGCATGAAAATCCCAGTAGATCTGATCAGCAGTTTTTTAAAATACTCTGACCAGTCCGCCTGATACCAACAAGCATGCCACGTTCAAAGTCACTTAAAGTGTTACTAAACCCACAACAGTAAAATCAGTCTGTATGTGCAGTAAAGCATGCTTGTTATACTCACTGTGGAACCTAAGGGGTTAATCTTCTGCATTGCGTAAACATGCTGTTTGACCTTGACTTCTCTGATCCTCCCCTTCTTCCAGTGTTCCCTCTTATCCCCTGATAAAACATATCAAGCGGAGTCACTCTGCACATGCTCAGTTTGGTGTGTATTGCTAGAGAGGCTTTTTTTTTTTGCTGGGGAGTGTGCATGTGATCAGCACAGGGCCAATCATCACTGTCCAGACAGAAGTCAAGGGTCATGCATCTTCCTAGAGCAGAACGAAAACTCCTACAAGCTTTAACATGATTTAAAATCAGTCTGTATATGCAGTAAAGAATGCTTGTTATACTCACTAAGGAACATAAGGGGTTAATCCCCTGCATTGTGAAAAAAAGCCGGTCTGATCCTGATTTCTCTGATCCTTCCCTTCTTCCACAGTCCCCCATCCATCTGCTGATAGAACACAGCCTTGGGGGCAAGCTGCACATGCTCAGTTTGGTATGTATTGCTAGAGTTTTTTTTTTCCCTTGAGAGATTGCATGTGATCAGCACTGTCCAGACAGAAGGTCAGAGGTCATGCAGCCTCATAGGACAATCAGGGGAGAATGAAAACTCCTCCTACATGCTTTAACCAGTGCTCTGCTGGACACTTACAGAAGTCACACGACTGCTCTAACTGCTCATGAGAAACGGTATTAACAGTTTATATTTACTAAAATAATTGAATTTCTGTGTTCTGTGTGGGACAAGATATAGTGAATGCAGGGTCATGGGTTTAACAATTTAAATCCCTTTTCTATCCCATTCTGATGCTCAACTTGAACTTCAGCAAGTCATCTCCACCATATCTACATGCCTAAATGCATTGAGTTGCTGCCATGTGATTGGCTGATTAACAATTTCTGTTACCAAGCAATTGAACCGGTGTATCCAATAAAGTGGCTAGTGGGTGTAAAATGACACACATGAATGTAACTCTCTTCATCACAACATTGTGTATGTATAACCAAAATGTTTTGCTTTAGATTTGGATAGAGCAGGGAAGGGTTAACTCCCCTATCATGACAATTTTTGTTGTCTATGCCCTGTTAGGGAGATTTCCCTTTGCTTCCAGTCTTGGAGATGCAACAGGAAATGAGATGAAATCTCCCCAATGAGGAATTCTTTCCTTAAGATATCTGTCACTAGAACATGTGTACCCAATGGAAGATTTCCCCTCATCATTTGCTCCCATGACAATTCTAAAATTAAGGATCTCCATTTACTTTGTCACAGTGACATTGGTCACCTAGAGAAAATGAGAGGTGAATCTCCCCAGTGGGGACAGAGACAGCAAAAAAAATTGGACAGAGGGTTTAAGGCTCCATGTACACTGCAGCTGATAAACTCATGTTTAGGAGCTTTTCTGCATTTTTTTTTCAGCAGCCCCTGAACTCTCCCTAATGTTTCCCTATGTATCCATGTACACTGTCATTTACAGTTGTTTACAGGCAGTTGAGTTTACAGTCTTTTTTTGACTGTAACAAACTTGCACTCAGGAGTAGATTTTACCAGCGTTTCAAATGCCAGTAAACACGTGTAAACGCGTTTATAAGCGTTTGGAAAATTTAACTCTTCGATTTCCAGATGCTGTCCAGAGCCTTTTTTCATCATGAAAAATGCATGCAAATGTTTTCCCAGTATTCAAATGGACCTGGTACACCATACTTTGAGGTTTCGCATGAAAGAAAATATGATAGACACTGCTGCAATCATTTCTGCACAGAAATGAGTTGGAACACATCCAAACACCACAAAAAAAAAACAAAACAAAAAAAGAAGACAGCTAATCTCAGCAAATACTGCTCTCTCTTCTGCTCTTTTCTATTTCTCTCAAAATGTCTGAAATAGTTAATTTTCTTTACTGTTTTTCAGTGCATTCTGGGCATTTTGGAAGGTCTCCTGATGTTATCTTTAAAAAACACTTCTAAACGCAAATGCTCATAAAACGCGCATAAACCCCTGTATGCAAACACGGCTAAACAGACAGTTTTTTAACCTACGTTTTCCAGCAGTCAGTTTCTATCGTTCAGAAGTGTCCCGTGTACATGGAGCCTAACACTTCACCAATATCCAAAACTAAGAAAAAAAATGTGTTTTCATTTATACACACCTAAAATGTATTACTCAAATACAAGCAGTGTAAATACCTGAATTTGACTTCAGCGGGAGCTCAGACTGGGAGAGGAAGGAAAAAGCAGAAAAAAAAAGTCAAATCTGTTCATGTGCCGCCAAGGGACATGCTGATAGCAGTAGAAAGCAAAGTGACAGAGAGATGAGCTCATCACTGGGCTCCTTCCCCTTCACTGTCCAATCACAGGATGGGTGTGGTGCTACGATGCCTAGGCTGACAGGCTGAGGACATTTAGTTGTGGTAATAGAAGTACTAAGGGGTTCAAGATTGAAAGGGGGGGGATTGGGATTTTTTGACTTTAGAGTTGTACTTTAAGACCTCATTCACATGGGTGTAGCAATCTGTAAAACCATGTGAAGGGCCATCTTCTGTGCAAGATGCACAGGTATTCTGTGTAGCCGCCTTTAGGCAGCCTGACGCATCAATGACAGTTGGGCGACTGCAAGGACGGATCAGAACGCAGTCCGCCTGCATTGAACACCTGTGCATCCCGAACGAATGGAGCCTAATACTGTATGTGTCACTGGGTCCATTTCCCCCCAATTCCTGTCCAGATGACCCCACAAATCTAGGCTGGGGTTCCTCTTTAAAACCACTCACAAATTCAGAGCTGGTAACAAATGTTTATTTAGGAGATCCGCATTAAGCTAGGGTATTGCCCTTTAAAGTGTGTCCAAAGTAAACTCATTTGTGAAAATGGCCATATGCCACAGTTGGTGGTTTGGATTTCTTGCAGCATATTATTAACCTTTATGTAAATAGCATTAATGTATTCCACTGTTTATTCAGCACTCCTGGCCTTTGGGAAATTATTAACACCTGTAATTATCTGCATAATCTTCACACTACTTGCCTATAGCCTACAGGATTTTCAGCGGCTAGAAACCCTGGAGTACACATCCAACCAGTTCTTACTAATGGCCATACAAATTCTGCAACCGGATCTGGGGAAATGAAACATGGCCAATATATTCAAGACATCGGCTTCCTCATTCTCCAACCTTTACATATTAGTCCTGGTAGTTTACAGGAAAAAAAAAAAAAAGAAGGACATTCTTTTATATCCAAACTGTCCAAATAACTAAACCCAAGTGTAGTTACTGCGAATCAATTGGGGAAAAACACATTATTTATGGAGTATCTATACCTCCAACAGTCATACACACATTGAAGAACTCTAAAAATGAAGAGCCATTGGGGCCACTCCTAAAAATTGTCTTAGCGGTCAGTGGAGGGTATTGGGAAAGGCACCGCTAATGATCCCCATTGATTTTAGAGTAGGTAGAGCATAGGGGCATTATTCTAGCTGTGTGGCTTAACCCTGCCATAGATGGATTAAATCTCAGCCAGTTCAGCAGTGCCCAGCCAAGATTCAATCCATCTATGGGCAGGCTTGTTGTACATTGCATTTCCATGCGATCACTGCCAGCAGCTATAGCCGCTAACAGTGATCACTGTGTTCTGCCAGCTCCTATAGCTGCCAACAGTGATCAC